GTCTGGTGCCCCCCTGCCTCATTCCATATCTGTCATCAGTACTCAAATTATAAAATCAAATTGTTATTTCTCTTAATATATTTATATCTCTGAATAGTCATCCTCCTAATTGTTACCTTTGCCCAGAAAAACCTAAATATCATCATATCTAGTCTTAATGCCTCACTTAAATGCCATTCCTATCCTCAAATACTTAGTTGATATTTCAACATAGATAACTTACCATAACCTCTGCATGAAAAGCAACCATTTAAATGCTCCCAACCACCCTTTAAATTGGTTTTATTTGCTCCCACCCCATTTCTTAAATAGAACAGAATGTTTCTACCCTTTGATTAGACTTTCTTTTTAAAATATATTCAGTTGCCCTAGCCAGTTTGTCTCAGTGGATAGAGCGTCAGCCTGTTGAGTGAAGGGTCCTGGGTTCGATTTCAGTCAAGGGCACATGCCTGGGTTGAGGGCTCAATTCCCAGTAGGACACATGCAGGAGGCAGCCAATCAATTATTCTCTCTCATCATTGATGTTTCTATCTCTACCTCCCTCTCCCTCCCTCTCTGAAATCAACAAAAATAGATTTTTAAAAAATTGGCCTGATTTCCACAAGAAGAGCTGTCATAGTCTACCTTTAGCTACTGAATAGTAAGATATTTTAGAAGTATTTTAAAAGGTAGGCTGGATCCCCACTCGGGGGTGAGGAGGGAAGGGGTGTGTGTGTGCAGGAGGCAGCTGATGGATGTGTCTCTCTCATCGATGTTTCTGACTCTCTATCCCTCTCTCTTCCTCTCTGTAAAAAATCAATAAAAATATATTTAAAAACAAAACAAAACATCATTTTCATCCTATAATCAATTTTTCAAAAGATGTAAATGCTGACCTATACCATCACATACTGCAGCACCTGGAGTCCAGCTCCTCTCCCAAAGCACAATATCCCTCCAGAACAACTTCTAACTTTTAGTTCAGCACAGTGTTTCTCAAAATATTTCTCATTATTGCCCACCCAAAGAGAAATTTAATAATCTAAATTTAAAACCACTGATTTGATTGTATTATGCTTTAATTTATTTACAGTAAAATAAATTAAATACTAAGGGATGAGACTTTGTCAGGTAAGGCTGCATTTTGGAGAGCCACATACCAGTATGCTATAGTACCCAAGATGGTTTCTCCCCACCATGAACCAACTTTCACTCCCTTTGGAGTGGTATCACCCCCATGGAGAATACATTTCCACTGATACTAATTTTTAGAAAGTTATTCAAGATCTTGCAGGATACGGCCTTAGCTTATTATCTAATGTTACCTTTCACTATTTCAAGTGCATTTATAATATCTCTCAGGATGCTTTGCTCTCCTGCATGTTTTTTTCTCTACACAATGAAGGCCCACTAATCACATTAGAGCCACCTATGGAGACTTCCTCTCACTTTCCTTTCGTCCTTATTGCTCTTCTTATTGAACTCTTATGATCACATCTAAGCTTTACTCCACCTACACATACTTGTGCTTTGTAAGGTTACGGTTACTTACATCCAAAGCTCAGGGTGGCTTCAGTGCTCCTGACTATCCCATAGTTATTTGATGCTAAACAGTAGTAGACGCCAGCATCTTTCTGTTTGTCAGGGTTGTTGATAACAAGGTTTCCTCCTACCATACTGTACCGATCACTTGTCAGATCTATATCCCCGTTATTCATTCTCCACCTATGAGAAAAAGAAATACATTTTATTCAAATGACCTTTGCACTCAGCTAATATCATTATAAAATATGGGGACAGCTCATTGTGAATTCAGGCAATTAAATAGATGACTCACTGTGGAATTTCTTTACATGCTGTAATTGCATATTCTGGGCTCATGATTTATAATTTAGCTTAGGCACAGAAAGATAAATGTTCAAGTGCATGAAATAGTCTACTTTTTTTCATGAAGCATCCCAAAGGACAAATACTATATTTTATTTTCTAGATAATTGGTTTCTTAGCTGATATACATGGTTTATAAATGATGCCCATCTATGCACTAGTTCAATTCATGCATACATAGGTATGGTATTTTAAATATCAAAAGCATTACACTGAAAGAAATGAAATATAAAATGTCAATATTTTATTTTAATATCCAACTAATTTTTCAATAAAACAAACTACTTGAAATAAGGATTTTTCTCAGTAAATGTCATAATCTGACCATGGAGGCCTATCACATAATTTGAAAATGATAAAAATCAATTGAGTTTTGGTTTCTAAGCCACATATGTAGTATTGTAGATATCAGGATTATGTTATAAATAAATTGACTAGAAACAGGAATCCAACTCTCTCGGTGGGATGATAAGATGAATGCATGTGGACAGTAGTTTTCAATTAAGCTCCCCACCTGCATAATTTTATAGTCATTCTGTATCAGGGTTCATCCTTAAGGTTACTTGTCTTCCACAGTGTTATAAGATAAGAGCTATAGCCCTAGCTGGTTTGGTTTGGTGTATCAAGTGTCAGCCTGTGTACTGAAGGGTCCCGGGTTCAATTCAGGTCAGGGGCACATGCTCAGGTTGCCAGCTGGATCCCCAGTAGAAAGCGTACAGGAGGTAGCCATGCCCAGGTTGCCAGTTGGATCCCCAGTAGAAAGCGTACAGGAGGTAGCCCATCAATGACTCTCTCATCATTGATGTTTCTATCTCTCTCTCTCCCCTCTCCCTCCCTCTCTGAAATCAATAATAATATATTTTTTAAAAATTGTAAGACAAGAGCTATGGTCAAATAGGGGCTGTGGCTGCAGTTATTTCCTGGCACAGTTCTGATTAGGGTCAGAATCTTGCCAAAGAGGCGCAAGAATATTTGGAACATTCTTAGATTTAAATTTTACAATGCAGCAGGTGATTTCAAGGCAAACATGGAAAAACCTTGCTTTGTGTTTTAAAAAATTATCAAATTGAAACCCAATAAAAAGCCTCTCCCTTCCCCAGCTGATGGCACTCTTGTCCCTGTTTGAACCATCCACTGTCAAATTGCTTAGCATTTGCCAAGTGAATGGGTTTCCCTGTTGGGCGGTTCCAGTGTCTTGTTTTGTTTTGTTTCTTTCCCCACAACAGTATGTTGACTCCAGATTTTTGTTTATTGCCTTCGCTTCCTCCCAGGGGATCTGATTCTGCCTTTGATGTCATATAATAACCAAGTTTTGCTGTGTTTGGGTAAGTTCACTGGTCTATTTAATTTTCAGAAACACCCACAACATTGTTGCAATCCCTTTCACACATCGTTAAATGCAATTTTATGGGAGTCCTTGTTATTTGGGGGGACAAGGAAAGAAAACAAAAGCCTTAAGGCTGGTAAGTGGAAGGCAAACGTCCCCTTTGTACCTTTCAGGGTGTTACCACGAATAACAAATTATCACAGTATATACACTACTATGTGAATGACAAATTGCATGATTCCCAAGGTCAGTAAGACTTGCCCCGAATATTAAGTAAATTTTTAAAACTTCAAATGTTCTTTCCCATCAGACAAACTAAATCCTTAGCTAATTTTGTTCTTGTTATGCTGTCAATGGCAGACAGCTTTCATAACAAAACAAGACATCTTCTCCCTGCCAGCTCTCTCCTTTAATGCGTAGACAGTCAGGCCACACTTGTCCTGGCAACTTCTGTGCTGTGCAACCTGGGAGAGGGGTATTTGCCAAGAGAAGGTTTGCTTCTTATCTTTACTTTTGAAATTTTGGTAAGAACGCTTAATGGGACTGGAGGGAGGGGGAAATGGGGAGTTGCTAATAGCAATGTCCAAAACTATAGCTATGCAAAGCTTTGCTTCTACTGTGTTTGTGGGGGACAGGGGTGGGAATGGGGGGCAGTGAGGGGAAGCAGGTGTTTTAGACACTGTCTGCAACAGCTCTTGTGTGTTGTTGCCTCCTGTCCAGCCTGGAGGCTGATTTGCTAAGGTTCCACGTATGAATGTCGAGGACACAACATCACAGAAGAAGAACCACGGAAATCGCTTTTGAGATGCTGGCAAACTATCTGGAAAGATGCAAACTAAAAATGACACATTTCTTTGAAAATCATAAAACCTGTGTTTCCGTCCTGCGTCTGTGATTTACTCACTTGGAAGAAAGTAATTTACTTATTCAGAGCTCAGCTTCCTCTCCTATAAAATCATGTGCTTGGATTAGATCTCCTCTACAGCTCCTATTGGCTATACTCTTCCATGTCCATAAACTCCCGTTATGTACGGCTTAAGGGCAGAAATAAGTCTAGCCCATCAAATATATTCAAAACAAATGTATAATTTATAATTTATAAA